TCGGACTCGCTTGGAGAAGCTCTGGGCCGGCGCAGGCGTTCTCTGAACCTGAGCAGAGAGCCGGCGCACGCACCAAATTGTGACAGCTCCCTTCAACTGTGTGTGCACCGGCTCCCCCTGCCCCGCCATTGCACGCATATATAGAGTGGGAATACAGAGCGGGAAACAGAAGAGAGGAGGGCAGGAGAGAGAGAGAGAGAGACGAAGACACTAAAAAAGGATTGAAGATAAGAAGAACAAAACTTTTTAAAACGTTTTAATTATGTGAGCCACCTTGCCGAGCCTGGGGGCGGAAAGGCTGAGGCAGAGCGGGGCTGCGGCTCCTGCGCCTCCGCCACAGCCTTCTCTGAGGAAGCCGCTGCTGTGGAGCAGCTGCCATGCTTCCCCCCACGGCAGGGAGAGGCGGGAGGCGCCCCACTTGGCCGGCCGTGGCTCCGTCCCTCGCCCCACTCGCCTCGGAAAGCAGCCCTTCCTCACGGCCTCTCCAGTCAGGGAGCCACCTTGTGCTCACCTCTCCGGCCTCCCACTTCCGCTCCCTCAGAAGCGGGGCGGTGGCAAGGACTATAAGTTCATCATGCCCAACCAGCATGGCCAATGGACGTTGTAGTCCAACTCATCTGGACAGTACCAGTTTTGGCAAGGTTGCACTTAAAATATGGTAGTCTTTAGCTCTGCATCCAAATGCAGCCATTGTGTATTGTGGGAATTGCTCTGGGCTGACTTGCTTCAAATACTCAGAGTGGCATTAACAGTTTTTATCCTTCGTATTTTTGCTTCATTCTTTGTAAATGCCAGTGAATTCATCAGCTGCATTATGCAAAGTACCATATTTAGTGCCTTGGTCATGTTGTAGCGACAGCGGTCTCTCGAATATGGGCATGCTCTTCCCAGCCTCATCTGGGGCTTCTGCTGCAGCCTGAGGGAGCGGAGCAAACATTTTTTAATTTCTTAAATTTTAATTAAGTTTTAAATTTATTTTAATTTTAATTAACTTTTAATGTGCACTGTGCATAGGAATTCATTCATATGTTTTCAAACTATAGTCCAGCCCCTAACAGTCTGAGGGACAGTGAACTGGCCCCCTGTTTATAAAGTTTGAGGACCCCTGGTCTACGCTTTCCTTCAGGTCCTTCAGAGGTGGGGTGGGTGGCAGCTAGAGAGAGGGAGTTTTTGGCTGTAGGGGCCTGTTTATGGGCATTGATTATTATTTTTTTTTAATCCTGGTTTTATTATCCTTTTGGTGCAAAGCCATTTAGAGTCCAGTGTTCTGCATCCTTCAGCTGAGAAAAGCCTGACAATTCCCAGCATTCCCTAGTCAGCAAGGCTGGCTGAGGAATTCTGGGAATTTTAGGACCTTTTCTATCCAAACATACAGAGGATTGTCCCTTATTGAATGGTATGTATGCTGGGCTGAGACTGGGGTGACTTCAGGCCAGTATCTGGCTTTCAGCTTAACCTACCTCACAGGGTTGTTGTGAAGTTAAAAAGAGAGGAGGGTAGCAAAAAAGTATATTCTGTTATCTAGCAGCCTTTCTTGCATGACCCTATAAGCATTGCACCCTGATGCGTTTCAGATCCCCATGTGCTTTATATTTTTAATACTGCTTTTCTGTTTTTGTACTCACTCCAAGATTAATCAAGATGAAGCCAAATCAATTAGAGTACTTCAAGGAATAAAATGACATATTTTGTCAACATCCTGAAATGTATTTTGGATGTTCTCCAGGCTTGTATGAACCTGTTTTAGAAGAACCACAAACCCTCAAGGGATGCTTCAGGATGCTAGAGTGCTGAATGTTAGAAGAGATTGTTTCGGAAGAAGAATGAATCCTTGAAAGAAGAGACGTGCAAAGTAGCCAAACTCCAGTTTGTTGAAGTTACATAGAAACAGAGCGAGTCAGAAGGGCTCTCCTGGGCCATCTAGTCTGACCCCTGGCTCCAGCCAGCTCCACTCATGACATGCCTACCATGTACGTATCCAGCCTGTCCTTGAACACCCTCACCGATGGGGCCTCAACCACCTCCCATGGAAGCCCATTGCATACCCTCGGGGTCTTAACCATCAGGAAGTATTTCCTGGCATCTACCCTAAATCTTGGTTCCCTGAGCTTTGCTTCATTGGAAATCGTCCTGACCTCCATTGCAGGGGGGGAAAGGTCATGACCCACCTCTGTGTGACACCCCCTCACATACCTGCATGTCGCCAACACATCCCCTCTGAGTCTCCTCTTCTCCAGGCTGAAGAGACCCAGTTCCCTCAGTCTCGCCTCATACGGCATCCCCTGCAAACCGGCCACCAACCTTGTGGCCCTGCGCTGCACTGACTCCAACCTGGCTATATCCTTTCTGTAACGAGGGCCCCAAAACTGAGCACAATACTCCAGTTGCGGGCGCACCAGAGTCGTACAGAGTGGTAGTAATACCTCTCTCGATCTAGAAGCCACACTTCTGGCTATGCAACCAAGGGTGGCGTTCGCCCTCTTGGCCACCGCATCACACGGCTGGCTCATGTTCAGCCTGTGGTTGACCAGCACCCCAAGATCCTGAATCTCATTCTCTCTCATGGCAAGCTCATTTTTTTTTCTATTTGCTCATAGAACTGTATATATATTCACATACATTTTTCCAAATGTATTAGTTTTATGTGGCTTCAAAATGGACACCTTCTTCCCCCTTTATCAATGTGCACCTTTCTTCCTTCTGCCTCCCTTTTTCTTTGCTTTTCTCTTTCTCTCTTTTCTCTTCCTCTCCTGCCTCCATTTTCTGTTTCACTCTTGCTCTTTGTCTGTTTTGGGCTTGCTTTGTTGTTAAACCAGATGGAAAGTTATGCAAAGGTGGTGAGAGTATATAAAGATGTACATGAAAATACCACATTCTTCCTGAAAACAAAAATCAAACCTTAATGTATTCTTACTGGCTGCAAAAACTTCTTTGTAAATGAAAATGCTTCCAGCATCAGGTCTCACCAATGCAGCCTGCCAGGAGAAGGTTGTTTCCGGAACCCAGATAGGGTAGAGGTCTGCTCCCCATGAAGGGTAGAAAACCAGGTTGCTTTGTGCTAACCACATATCTTTTTTGCTCAGGATGCAGCTGCAGAAGGCATGTCAGGGATTGTAGTCCCAGGGCTGCTCTGTGATTCGCCCACAGATGCCTTCCGCACTCTGTGTGAGGCCTCGCTCTGTGTGAGCAAGCAGAGAAGATCAATGCAAAGCATTTCTGTTTAAATTCATTGGCCTGATCCTGCATACATGCACACATGACTTTTAGAGAGAAAGTGTTTTCATTTTCTAAAGTACATGCTATTTTTGTTCTTTGGATAATGTGGGCATGTGGCACAGAAAGTACAGTCATAAAAAGGTCACCCTGGCTTCTCCTGAGCACTTTTCCAAACTTGGCTGCTTCCACTAGCAGTTTCTAAAAGTTGGGGTAGGGAATCCCAGCCCCCGGGCCAGACTGCACCTCCCAGATCAGCCAAAAGAGGCCCTCATCCTCACACTGGAGATGTTCCTAGGGCAGCCACAAGGTACCGGGGGTGGGGGGGAGTCCAGATGTGCTGGGCAATGACAGATGTGGGAACCATCAGGAAGAGGAATCCTGGTCTACCGAAGTCCTCCGTCCTGGCAGACACAATTCAGACCCTGCAGCCATTCTAGCCCTCCAAGATACGATTATGCATGACATTTCCATCCACTGTTTCCTGGGAACTCATCCCCACTCCCCCATTTTCATCACAACAACCCTAAGAAGTAGGCTTGGCTAGGTTTTATGGGCTTTTCACAGCTAAGTGGGAACTGGCTTGGTGCTCTCTTTAGTCTCAGCCTCAACAATTGTAAAAGCGCTCTAAAACCAAGTTGAGGAATGCGTGGTCTTCCTGATGTTGGTGGACTACAACACCCATCAGCCCCAGCCAGCATGCCCAGGTGCTGCTAGACTACAGCAGCTGTCAGCCTGAGAACGCTATAAGAACCTGGAAAAAAGAACTTTGTTTCAAGACTCCTTTTTGCAAAGAATTTACCAAAATTGCTGGTGTGCTGGTGAAAGTGTTGGACTGGGGCTTGGGAGATCTGAGTTCGAATCCTCTCTTGGTTGGGTGACTTTGGGCCAGTCCCTGACTCTCCATCTAGCTGACCTCACAAGGTTGTTGTGAGGATAAAGTGGAGAGCAGGAAGAGGTTTGTCCAAGCTGCCTTGTGTTCCCGGCAAGAAAAAGCAGTGGGATAAAAATATAATAAACAAACAAATCCCATCATCCTTACCCACCATAAGGGAGTTCAGGCCAAAACACCATAGGCCATGGAGCGGGCACCTTCCAATTTTCCCCCAACTGGTCCGTTCAGGGTTTGATTCTTTAAAAATAACTCAGCGGAGACAAACATGGTATGCCTGCTTTGCCCACTCCAGAAGCGGAAGCTCAGCTTTAGCAAAAACAACAAAGCGGTTTCTTTCTTTTCTAAGTTTGTCTTTTTCTAAGGGTGCAAAAAAAAAGGTGGGACATCCATGTAATGCAATAACAACATTTTAATTTTTTTTTTTTTTTTTTTGCATGTTGGGACATAAAATTTCAATGCCTATTTTGGGACAGAAAGAACTTACCTTTTTAACGACTATAACAGGATTTTGGTCGCACAGGTCATGTGCTCTTAACCCTGCACTACAAATGCTGAAAACTTGATGACTTACCATACGAGGATGATTGGACCTTTTCCCCCCAGTGTATTTTTTAAACCCAAAGAGCAAACATAAATCAGCTTTGGGTAAATAATTACAGCATACAGGAAGTGGAATGATGTTCGGCAAATGTGTAGGACTGGGGATGAGTTCACCCTGTGCTGGGTGTAGAGAGGCCAGCAAGCTATTCGGCTTTTTGGGGCTGGTGGTTTGCACCGGATTTCCTACAAACACGCCCATCCCCACCCCAGACCATCTAAGGAAATGAAAATTAACTGCTAAACCCAAAGAGAAGACTCCCGACAGTCTCCAGAGGGGAAAACAAGAGTCACAGCCGAGGGAGCCGAAGTGTTCTGTGGGCAGGAAGGCGCTGTGGGGCGCAGCCAGGAGCTTCGACCTGCAGCCCTCGGGGAGAAGAGGAGCTGGGATGGGCCACAAATTCAAGGAGAAGGCGTCTTCCTTCCTCTTCCAATATGACACCCCGCGGATGGTTCTGGTGCACAATAAGAAGGTGGGGGTGACCTTCCGACTCATCCAGCTGGTGGTCCTCATGTACATCATTGGGTAAGTGACCGTCAAAACGAGAGAGCGGCCCGGTGGACTCGTTCTTGCGCTGCGCCTTGCCTGGTGCTGGCTTGCTGGGCAGTGGAAGATTGATTTCTGGCATTGATTTAATCCGGTATTTACTTACTGCATTTATATCTTGCCTCGCTAGAATGCATGGACCTGCTCCAATAGTATCCTCACAACAACCCTGTGAGGCTGGCCAGGCCCAAAGTGACCCAGGGGGTTTCATAGTTAAATGAGGATTCGATGTGAAGGGTTCTTCTTGTGTTCTTATGGTAAATAAAGAGATGTTGAGCAGATGGGGAGGGTGGAAATATAATAAAGAAAGAAAGAAATTGGTGGGAAATTCAAGAAGGGATGTGCTACCCATGGGAAATCCAGTTCATCTCAGCTCAGCAGAGTTTTCTGTGGATTTCCAATTCTAAAATGGGTTATAGTTCATACATCTTCTAAAACACTAAGAAAATTTTAGCAAGTTTAAAATATTTGTACAAATCAGGGCGGTGGGGGGGGGTTGCACATTCTGCAGAAGCTGGCATTTGTAAATCTTGCAGGAACCTTGCCCTCTTCAGATCAGCTGAGTTTACCCAGATCATATTAGATCCATGTGCTTTTTCAGATTTTACACAAATTTCCTTTTCAATGCACAAATTCTGGCTGATCTGAAGAGAGTTTGAAGAACGTATGAGCTGCAGGGAGGGGACTCTTGGGGGGTTAACATTTATTTCAATATGGCCTATATTATTATTAATAATAATAATTTAATAACAATAACAATAATAATGTGTATTATCTGACAGATCTGCAAATTATAAGTGTTGCTGGGGAAACTAAATTTCACTTCATAAGAGGAAGGGCTTTCTCAAGCGGAAATATGCAGATGTTGCTTAGGGGTGTGTGTGTAATGTTGGTGGGATAGGAAAGAGACCGAAGATCAAAGATAGGCTAGACATGCACATGGCAGGCATGTTGTGAGTGGAGCCGGCTGGAGCCGGGGGTCAGACTAGATGGCCTGAGAGACCCCTTCTGACTCGCTCTGTTTCTATGTTCCTATGTTTCTATATGGTTTTTTCAAAAAAAGACTCGCATAGGTCCACTCTGAGATTGGTTACAGCTCTGCAAGTTTAACTGCTAATGAAATGTGCCCCAAGACACCTCTGAAAACCCATGGCTCCAGTCCACTTTATGCAAAATTGCCCACTAGTGCAGAATCGGCCCATTTGCCTCAAGCATAATTTGTGCAAATTGGCCACTTTGCAAAAATCACACAGACGTGCATATTTTTCAGGGGTGCCGATCTGCACAAATTTCATTAGCAGTTAAGAAAGATGTGCAAATTCTGGTCTGTATACCAGATGGACTTGAACCACAGAAAGTTGGCACCAGAACTGGAAGGACCCAAATCACAGGCACCCTCTTCATCTCCCATTAGTTGCCTCACACAACCCTGCGGCCCATTGGATGGAAGGGGCCTTCTTCTGCACGCTTACGTAGGTGTTGCTTCAGAGTGGAAATGCATAGAAAGGTGTTTCTATCCTTCCTCCTCACCATTTCAGGTGCTCTCTGTCCTTTTCATTTCTTTTTCCTTCCTCTCTCTCTGGCTCTCTGTGCCTTTCTTGCTCTAATAACCTAGATGTGTTCAGCTCTTTTCCAAGAAACTAAAGGGAACTTGATCCAACAAGAACTCATGTCTTCACACAGCGCTCAGTGGGCTCCCTGTCAGGTGGCTTAAAAAGTAAGGAAAGAATGAAGGGTCTGGGAATCGGAATTACAGAGTCAGGACGAGGTCATCTAGTCCAGACCCTGCTCTAGTTCAGTCTTGCCTAATTGACAGATTTCAGTGCAAGGTCTATCATGCAGAATGCCATAGCTGCCCATCTTCCCCAGGTGCCCACCCAGCCTCTAATGAATTACCTCCAGAAAACACAGAAACAGAGCGAGTCAGAAGGGGTCTCCTGGGCCATCTAGTCTGACCCCCGGCTCCAGCCGGCTCCGCTCACGACATGCTCACCATGTGCACATCCAGCCTGTCCTCACCGATGGGGCCTCAACCTCAAGCAAAACCTGAGGCAGGCCATGGCATGGTCAATTGGTATGCACCTGTCCCAATTCACCTTTGTATTCAGAAGCAGGTATGCCTCCGAATAGCATGAGTGCACCTTCTTTAAGGTCCTGTTTGTGGGCTTCTCAAAGAACATTTGCTGGCTGCTCTGGGGAAACAGGACTTCTGGATAAGGTCCATTGGGTCTGGTCCAGCAGGACCTGTCTTGGGTTTTTAGGGCTCCATGGGGAAAAATGAGTTCGAATGAAGGGAAAAGGACTGATATGTTGATTGACTGTGAGCAAATGGACAGACGGATGGATGGATTAATTCGAGCCAGTCCTAATTGTGGGCCAGATATATTATCAGTGGACTGATGTGTTGATTGATTGGTTAATTGATTGATTGTGAACTGATGGACTGGTATTTTGATTGATTGATCGATTGACTAATTGTGGGCTGATGGTTTGTTATTTTCACTGAGTGATTGTGGCCAGATAGAACTTCTAACTGTGGGCCAGATCTAACATCAGTAGACTGATACTTTGATTGGTTAATTGATTGATTGTGGGCCAGTGGACTGGTATTTTGATTGATGGATTGTGAGCCAATGAACTAGTGTTTTGATTGGTTGATTTGAGGCCAGCAGCATTTGGCCTTGGATGACACCACCTGTTCTTAAAAACAACACAACAACAAAGAAACACATGTCTTAATTTATTTTTGGCTTGGCTAAAATAAATTTGCCAAAATGACTTCTGCTCCCTTTTCTTACCAGCCAAAGGACCTGGCTGGACCATCCTGGATGGAGATAGTTTTGAGTGAAGAGCTGGGCTAAATATTTTCCAAAATGGAGACTCAGTACTTGGTCTGCTACTTCCTTAGTCCCGAAAGCGCTGGGAAACGCAAACTCAGAACCATTCCATCTTCTAGCAGTACCCAGTTTCAATGTCCCTAACCCTTCTGCATCTTCTCTTAACTTTCTAACTGCTTGTATAGTATGTGATCTTTGCATTTGCCTAATTTTAAAAACTCACATTATTTATTTATTTATTTATTTATTTATTTATTTATTAAAACATTTTTATGCCGCCCCATTCGCCGAAGCCTCGGGGCGGCTTACAACAATTTATTTGGATTTTGATTCCTGTTCTATGCACAGAAATCATATCCAGGGTGGGATTTTATGGGAATGCCTGTGCAGATCTTCAATCCCTTTACCATTTTTCTGGAATCATCTTTGGCTGGATGAAGTAAACATGGGAATTTCCTTCAATGCAAATGTTTTCAGACATTTCCTGCTGTTCCAGAACTGGCATGTGGCATCTCTCAAGAGACTGGGAGCCAAATGCAGACAGAAAGTCAAGCATGTCTTAATTTTCCTCCCATACATAAATTAAGCTCTGACATCCCATAGCTTCTCCCCGAGATCATCAGCAAGAGTTCAAAAGTACTGAATTAGGGGAGTCTGCAATAAAGCAAAAGCCAAAGAAATCCCCCCGCCATTAGTCCTGGCCTTGCGCTCCCACCCCAACTTTCACAGGTATCGCATAGCTGAAGTGTTCGCCACTGTTGGATCAGGTATCCTTCTGTCTAAAGGGTGGTTCTCTGTTTTAGAGAGCTGGCAGAGGCTGACATTCTCTGTCTGAAGAGCTGTTCAAGTCTGGTTGCAAAGCAAAGAACCAGAAAGGATGTAAAGCAGTTGGAGGGCCTTAAAACTACTTGGCCATAGTCGGCACTCAGACAGGAGGCTGAAAAACAGGTGCTCACGCACACGTGCAAATGTCATTTTCAAAATGTGAAGACTTCTTTGTCCTCATGGGCTGGTGATGCACACGCAGCATCCTGGGAGAGAAAGCAAATGTACCTGTGTGTGTCGTCTTGGGGCCAAACCCTGTGGCCCACCTGTCAGCCTGCATGCTTTTCCCAGCCTCTTTGGGATGCACAAAGCTTGTGGGAAGGGCCACCAAGTGGGGTCGGAAGAGCAGCGCCCCACCGACCATTTCCCATGTGAGCTACACTTCCCGAGCAAAGCCCCTGCCCAAGGTTGCAACTCAGTTATGTTTAGTAAAAATGCAAAGTATTTCAGCAACAAGTTTCACTGCTCTCCAAAAGGCCATTTGTGGCCTGCAAGCCAACCTATTCTCTTCAAATTGGCTTTCCCTGACCTGAACTTCTTTTTCTTCCAACGCTGTAACTCGCCTCTACGATTGCAAGCAAAGTGGCAGGGCTTAATTCAGTCCTGCCCAACTGCAGAAAGCTATTTCTTTCGCAGGAAAATGTAAGACAGGAGGAAGAGGTCTACTTGAGTCTGCCAGGCTAAAAAAGGAGAGAAATCTGGCTTCCGCCCCCCATCCCGGCTGTGGGTTTCATTCCCGTGAACTTTGGCATGCAGAGTGGATGCTTTCAGCACGGACTCATCTTGGTCCCACACTCAAGCAAGGACGCTTTCTGTGAAGGGTTAATCCAGGCCCGTCTAGTGGAATCCCTCATTCCCTGAGCCCCCCTGACCGAGGAGGCACCTCAAGGCCTTGGAGGATGTGCTTGGAGGCTAGGATATGTGGCTGTTTTGAGGAGTGTTTGTTATTCCTGGTCCCTGTACATGGGTGTGAAAGCTGGACAGTGGGAAAGCTGGCTGGAAGGGGAAAACACGATGCTGGAGAACAGTTTTGCAGGACCAACAGAAAGACCATCAAGCGGGTCTTAGATCAAATCATGTCAAAGTTCTCCCTGGAAGCAAAAATGGCAAGACTGACGCTGTGCTATCTTGGCCACATCCTGAGAAGGCCAGACTTCTTGGAGAAGACGATCACGGCAGGGGAAGTCAAAGGCAGAGGAAGAAGAGGGAGAGTAAATGGTGAATGGTCTCCACCAAGGAAGCCACAGCCTGAAATTGACAAGGGGGCTGTCTAGGATGGGACATTTTGGAGGCTTCCCTTCGCAGGGTCAGCATAAGTCGGAGATGACTTGGCAGCCCCCAGCCACAAAAGCAATTCACCAAAAGTGGGCATTTCTTCATAAATGGGATGGGAAGAACTTCAGATGTGAGGTGGGGTGGGGACTGAACCTGGGTTCAAATCTCCTCAGTGAGCCATGTCTGAAGGGCTGCGGGGGGTTGCCCTCCTTTCTTCCAATGGAGTCCTAATTGGCAATGGTGGCATGGTGGCCGGCTGTTGGGTTTGGGTCACGCTGTCCTTGTTCTTTTTGGTTCGTGCTGATGGGCAAGAATGCCCTTTCCTTTCTGGAGAGCTATTTTTACTCACCAAAAGCGTTCATGGTTTTCTTCTCCTGCCTTTTCCCTTAGATGGGTGTTCCTTTATGAGAAGGGCTACCAGTCAAAAGACAGCATTATAAGCTCCGTCTCCGTGAAGCTCAAAGGTTTAACCATGACCAATTCCAGTGACTTGGGTCCCTACATCTGGGATGTGGCAGATTACGTTTTCCCGCCACAGGTATGGAATTTAGAGCCACGGGGGAGTTCCCCCATGGGATTTCTCCCTTCTCTCTCCTTGGGGCAAATAAAAAGCTGGATTCTGTACAGACACGAGTGTGGCTACTGATGGTGGAGACGTCCACATAGCATTCAAGTCAGTTCGGGTCATTGTAGATCTGCACCATGGATTCCGCAGTGCTCCCACTTTTCCCAAGCCACACACATTCCAGATTTGCTCACACTTGCAGTCTCTTTTTTTACTTTCCAGAATTTTGCACAGATTTGGTCTGAGACACATGAAAAACGCTAAAAGCTGCCTGAAGATGAGTTTTCCCCCTATTGCTCAAGGATGAAAACATGCTTTTGCGGAGTGGGGTGGGGTGCTGCAGATTTGGAGGGAATTTGAAGTCAAATTCGTGCACGTGCAAATTTGCATGAGGGTGCGTGAGCACAAATTCGGGAAATGGAAAACATTCCAGTCTTGCCAATGAACGAATGAAGGGAGTGAAGGTGCCTGGCAATCCGCATGATGCGGAAAGAACGGATTTCAGTCCATGTGCCCTTACTTCTCGCTTGGCAAAGGTGCAGGCTCCTCTCTGCCTGTCTGCTAGATTTCATTTTGGAGACGTTCTTGGGGCTGACCTTTGCAGGGCTGACAGAAAAGAGCGATTCCCCACAATAACATGGATGCCCGTAGCTTGAAGCTCGTCAAGCCAAGAACTAAGAAGCCTTTTAGAAGGTGGATCGGGAGCAAAGCCAGGGGAATCTGGTGCTTGCGGAGAGGGACTGAAGCCCGGTGGAGTGTGCAGGGGGGCCGGGGTTGATGGCGGAAGGGGGTGGAGCCAGAAGAAGGGGCGTGGCCACCTGGGGACCCTGGAGGGTTGGAATGGGGCCATGTGCCAGCCAGGACTGGCTCTCATGGCCCGAGGCTTTCCATCCAGCCTGCAGGCACCTGCCCGCTTCCCTCCTCAGGCCCTGCTTCCAGAGAGAGAGGCATCTTATGCCTGCAGGGAAGCTTTTCCTGGCCCCTGCTTGGTGGGGGGGGGGGGGGCAGGAGGCAGGCCTGGGGCTGCTGGCAGGTGCCTGGGGGTTAGGGTGGCTCGGCCAACGTTTCTGGCCCCTGTTGCGTGGCTGCGGCAAGTAACACCGGTCTCCTTCCCCAGGGGGACAGCTCCTTCGTGGTGATGACCAACTTCATCGTCACCCGTGACCAGAAACAGGAAACATGCCCAGAGGTAATGCGCCCCTGTTTTCTTTCTAATTCATCTCTACCTTCACTATAATTATTATTATATAGACTGCGTGTGTGTGTGTGGGGGTGGGGGGGAAGAGCGCATGACTGGGATTCTGGTGATCCGGGTTCGAGTCCCTGCTTGGCCATGGGGCCAGCTGGGTGACTTTGGGCCAGTCCCAGACTCTCACCCCAGGCTACCTCACAGGGTTGTTGTTGTGAGGATAAGATTGAGTGCAGGAGGAGGAGAATTTTGTTAGGTGCCTTGAGTTCTTTGTAAGAAAAAAAATGGTGGGATTGGAGATCGGGAGAGTGGCTACCTGGAGAAAGGCCTTCCCAGCGGTGGCACCCCGGATGTGGAACACACTCCCCAGACAGGTGTGCCTGGTGCCAACACTTTATTCATTTTGGTGCCAAAACTAAAACCTTTATATTGCCCAATATTTTAAGTTTTGATATTTTAAACATGGGTTTTATTGTCGCTAGTTGATGTTTAATGTTGTGCTTTTATGGCTTTATCGTATTACCATCCTGAGACTTTTAGGAAAGCACAGAATATAAACACTTTTAATAAATGTAAAATGAATAGTAAACAATTAATAATAAACAATAAATAATACATAAATAACTATTGAATAAATATAAAATAAATATCCCATGGCATTTCTATCCCACCTCTTGTCAGGCTGCTAAGAAACCCTTACCTGATCATAATAATAATAATAATAATAATAATAATAATAATATAATGATATTATATTATAATAACATTATAGTGATGATTATGATTTTGCCTTTATGTCCCCCCTTTTTCCATTGAAGCAGAACTCAAGGTGACTTACAAACCAGGATGGGGGAGATCTGCATGGGGGATTCGATGAGGCCGGGGACTTAGGGGCACAGATTAGAGTCACCCCCCTTGAAGTCGAGGGGCTCCTCAGGGCATTGGACATTACAAAGGCGCCAGGCCCTGATGGGTTACACCGGAGAGTACTTAGAGAGTTGGCAGGGGCTCTCTCACGCCCGCTGGCCTCCATTTTTGAGGCCTCGTGGAGAACGGGTGAAGTTCCAGAGGACTGGAGGGTGGCGTCAGTGGTCCCAATTTTCAAAAAGGGTATTAGAAAGGACATGGGGAATTATAGACCGGTTAGCCTTACGTCCATTGTAGGAAAAACAATGGAAAGCCTCAGAGAGAGATCTAGCGATGCTAGATAGGGAAGGGAGGCTGGCAGCCATACAACATGGCTTCCACAAAAACAGGTCCTGCCAGACAAACCTTGTGGGATTCTATGACAAGTTTTCGAGATGGCTAGATGGAGGGGATGCAGTGGATATGGTTTACCTGGATTTCAGCAAGGCCTTTGACAAAGTGCCCCATGATATCCTGGTAGAGAAACTGAGGAGTTTCGGGATACACCAAAGCACTGTCTGGTGGATTAGGGCATGGTTGACTGACCGAAAGCAGAAGGTAGCCATTAGCGGGGAATCGTCGGGATGGCGGGCAGTGACAAGCGGGATCCCCCAGGGCTCTGTCCTGGGGCCGATCTTGTTTAATCTTTTCATTAACGACATGGAAGAAGGGGTGAACAGTCTGCTGATCAAATTTGCAGACGATACTCAAACTGGAGCAGTGGCCACAACTGAGGAGCAGGTACTCCAGATCCAAAAGGATCTGGACAGACTATGGAAGTGGGCAGGAGACAACAGGATGGCGTTCAATGTGGATAAGTGTAAGGTCTTGCACTTGGGGCATAGGAATGGGTGTCATAAGTACAGGTCAGGGGACAAGTGGCTGGAGAGCAGCACCTGTGAAAGGGACCTCGGGGTGCTGGTTGACTGCAGGCTGAACATGAGCCAGCAGTGGGATGCGGTGGTCAAGAGGGCAACCGCCACCCTCAGTTGCATAGCCAGAAGTGTGGCTTCTAGATCGAGAGAGGTATTACTACCACTCCATACGACTCTGGTGCGCCCACAACTGGAGTATTGTGCTCAGTTTTGGGCCCCTCGTTACAGGAAGGATATAGCCAGGTTGGAGTCAGTGCAGCGCAGGGCCACAAGGTTGGTGGCCGGTTTGCAGGGGATGGGGTATGAGGCGAGACTGAGGGAACTGGGTCTCTTCAGCCTGGAGGAGGCTCAGAGGGGATGTGTTGGCGACATGCAGGTATGTGAGGGGGGTGCCCCGCAGAGGTGGAGCACGACCTTTTTCCCTCTGCAGTGGAGGGCAGGACCTGTTCCAATGGAGCAAAGCTCAGGGAACTGAGTTTTAGGGTAGATGCCAGGAAGTACTTGCTGATGGTTTGGTTCCCTAGGGCATGGAATTGGCTTCCATGGGAGGTGGCTGAAGTCTGAACGGTGAGAGTGTTTAAGGACATGCACATGATAGGCAGGTCATGAGTGGAGCTGGCTAGACTTGGGGGTCAGACTAGATGGCCCAGGAGGCCCCTTCTGACTCACTCTGTTTCTATGTTTCTATTTTATCCATACCGCCACAGCCCTGTGAAGTAGGCCAGGCGGAGAGGCAGTGACAAGCGAAGCGTCACCCTGGGAGCTTCAGGGCTGAGCGTTTGTGCCACGCTCTGTTTTCAAGGGCTGAACATGGCACAGCAGGGAAGAGGCTGTAGCACCGAGGAGAGCTCTTCGCAGCCATGTGCCCACATGGTGTGAAATCAGGCCGAGCCTTTCCTGCCCCCCCTCCCGGGCAGGCAGGGGGCCCTTCCCTGTGCAGTGCGCAGCTTTGAGGGCCTCGTGTCTCCGCCTGCCCAATCTCTGGAGCCAAAGCCTTGGGGGTCTCTAACTCTGCATGGGGGGCTGGGCCTGGCGCCTCCTCCGAGGGCACCTCTAGATCTGTGTCCAGGTTCTTGCTGGTCTTCTCGTCCAGGATCCTAGAGCACAGGGCCCGCCATCAAGTTTGGGGTGGTCCAACACAGCCCTTCCCGCAGCTGGAGAGGCAGCTCCCTTTCTGGAGAAGCTCCTGGCAGCTGCACCGCATCCTCACAAAAAGGCCAGAGCCAGGTGGGGGGCAGTGCCCCACAGCTGGACGACCAGCATCTTGTCCAGCTTAGGCTCCTCACAGCAGATGGCCCTCCTAAGACTTGGTCCTTCCAACCTCAAAACCCTGAGAAGAGGGTGGTCTCCTCAAAAACAGTTCCATAAGCACCAAGGGTGCCCTATAATTTGAGGAAGGGGGCAATCATTTGGGGGCAGAGGGGGTGGGAATGGAGTACGTTGGAGCAGGGTGCAGGGGACCGGCTGCAGCCCTGAGGGCCACCGCTCCGTGGTGCGTCCTTTCCCTGCAGTTCCTCCTCGTTTGCATGGCCAGTCCAACTGTCCCAGACTTGCAAGAGATGATCCCTGTTTCCTTGGCAGTCAGCCTTGTATTTTAATAATGGCATATTATTAAATATATTTCAAAATATGTAGGGAGATATGTAAGCATAATGCAATATAACTATAATGCAGCTAATGCTCTGTCTGGTGACCCATAACCCTCCACACTTAAAGGATTGTGGAAATCTTATTACAGGTGGAAGAAAATGCAGGCAAAGATCACTTTTCTGCTTCTCCCACTCTACAAATGGCACCACGAACAATCATGTGGGGGAATATCGGGATAGGGAATAGAATTATTTGGAGTTCCAGCTATGAGACATTCTGACTGTGCAAGTGGGACTCTGAACATGGAGTTCCTGGCCCACCCCCCTCACAGCTGGTGCAGAAATAGAAACAGAGTGAGTCAAAAGGGGTCTCCTGGGGCATCTAGTCTGACCCCCAACTCCAGCCGGCTCCACTCATGACATGCCTCCCATGTGCATGTCCAGCCTGTCCTTGAACATCCTCACCGATGGGGTTTCAACGCCTTCCTGTTGTCTCCTTTCCACTTCCATAGTCTGTCTGGATCCTTTTGGATCTGGGGTACCTGCTGCTCAGTTATGGCCACTGCCCTGGTTTTAGTATCGTCTGCAAATCTGATCAGCAGACTGTTCACTCCTCCTTCCATGTCATTGATGAAAAGATTGAACAGGATTGGCCCCAGGACAGAGCCCTGGGGGACCCCGCTTGTCACTGGCCACCATCCTGACAATTCCCCACTAATGGTTACCCTCTGCTTTCGGTCCGTCAACCATGCCCTAATCCACCAGACAGTGCATTGGTCTATCCCAAAACCCCTCAATTTCTCAAGCAGGATATCATGGGGCACTTTGTCAAAGGCCCTGTTTTCTGCCTTTCTAAGGTCTGAAGTCATCCCAGAGAGACTCAAAAGGTGTGCCAGAGGAAAGGAGGAAGTTGGGGCTGATAGTTTATGTCGTACTTAAAATGGACTCTATGCCCCTTCCATCCCCCTCCACAGCTTAGAGGTCATGTAGAGGAAATGCCCAGAGAGACATTTTGGGCTTGCGTGTGTTGGATTGGGCCCTTGGGCTGATTTCAGCCACCTGTGTCTTTTCTGGAGAAGAGAGACTTGCGTTTTACCCTGTGGACCCTCCCTCCTCCCACCGCTGGTTCCAGGGGTGGATTTTGGGCCTCGGAGCCACTCCACTTGCAAAGGCAAACGGGAGGAATCTTTGAGCTTGGAGCATGTTTCTGATTTTGGAGGAGGGACTCTGGCTGTCAAAATAGCATCTCATGGCCATCAGTAGAAATATGCCCCCACCCCACTGCTCCCACTGATTCTGTTGAAAAGGTGCAGTCCCCATAGAAAGGTAGGAACAATAATGGAGCTTTTCCAAAAAGACTATTCCTTAAATGCAAAACCTCACACATCCATGCAGACCTTTTTTTGGTATGCTTGTACCTGTGAAATGTTAATAGAAACAGCGAGAAGGCAAATTATCGAGTGTGCAGATTAGCTAAGCAGCATTAGTTAAGCAGCATTAACCACATTAATTAAATAAATCTGCGCGTCGGTGGCTGAATGACAGCCTGTTGTCCTTCTTTCTTTCTTGTCTCAGCATCCTGAGGCAGGGAAGTGTGAGGAAGACAGAATGTGCACTGCAGGGAAGTTCCTTCGCCAGGGCCAAGGTGAGCAAGAGCGTGTGGCCAAGAGGCTTTCTTGACAAATGCGTGGCTTTTTAAGCCACTCGTCCATCCCCTTGATGCACGTACATCACAGCTGCATCCTGTGGGGGTTGGTGTTATTGGGGGGCTTGGAGGGAGGCCTTGCCCATCCCGGACAATGGGAAGCCCCAAAAGGCCTCCAGCCAAACCTGATGCACTCCATGCCAGTTGCCCCACGGCCTGGGAAAGCGCCCCCTGGCGCTGCGCCTGCAGCTGACACAGCCCTGCTTGGACAGTGCGCAGGCCTCAGTTGTAGACCCTGGACTTGCCAGGAGTGGGGTCCATTTTAGGGGCCGTGTCATGCCCACTCCACATGAAGTACCCTGCTTTTCTCCCCAAAATGACTCTGGCCAGGAGGGGGCCACCGTGGAGGCACCACTGGCGTTACGGGTGCCACTGCCCCACGCCTCTGGAGGGCAGCTGAATTTGGGAAAGGTTGGAGTCTGAGGAGTCCCTGGGATATCCTCCTCCGCTCTCTGGCTGTGTCCTCCTTCAGGCATCATGACAGGAAAATGTGTGAACTTCAGCCGCACGGAGAGGACCTGTGAGATCTTTGGCTGGTGTCCGGTGGAGATCGATGACCACGTCCCTAAGTAAGCAGTGAGGCCTCTGTTTTCTGATCCTAATGACACTAGTCCTCATTGTTCCCAGATGGGTTGGGTTCTAGCTATTCAGTCTGGCACAGTTTCAGGCCGACAGGGGTCCTTCCCACCTTTAGTGGGAAACTCAACCTCGTCGGGGTGCCAAGGAGGGCCTCCATCCTCTGAGTTTTCTCTCTCCCCGGCTTGGGCCTCAGAATGGCAACGGGGAAATCACTGCGGGATCCAGGCCTGGGTTGGCGGAACAGTCTTTTGGGGGCAGAGGGTGGGAGGGGAAAGTGCAGGGCTTCGGGTCTTAGACAGGCCCTGGCCACTGTGGCAGCCCCCTTGGCACAGCAGCCTGAGGAGGGGCCGTGCGAGGGGCAGGAGTGCAGGGAGAGGAGCCCACGGGGCAGGGTTGCGCTCAGAGGTGATGCTCGGGTGTCTCTCTAGGGACGGGGCCCAGACCTTGGGGTAGCCACCTGCCCCACCACTCTGCTGTCCCATTACAGAGGCTTGGATGGTCCCTGCCCCATACGATCTCCCCAGAGTCACCTCCCACTGTCCCTCTCTTGCATCTTTCTGCCTCGGGTCCTTTTCCAGGATCAAATCCCCGTGGCTCTCCAGTTCTTGCATCCCTTTTTACAGTGAGGGGCATCCTCTGGAGACAGGGTCTTCTGTGGACTCACACACACAGACTTTAGACCATTGGTAAATCATCAAGGGCACCTCTGTGCATATCTGCCCTATGAGCCCAGGCCCTGGATCCGCAGGAAAAGCCAGACAGTTCTGCTGAGAATGTCCTTCCTTCAACTAGCGGCAGCCATTCCGACACGATCCCTGGAGACATTCCCTTCCAGAAGGTCATTGTCAGAAGTACAACCAGAACCTGTGTTTTTCTTCTACCCTCCCCACCCCTTCTACCTTGCATGCCATGCCTCAAAGTCTGATTGTATGCCTGACAGCAGGCAGTCATGCTAGTCTGTGAACTGCTCTGGGAATGATTTTCACTAAAAGCAGGAGGCCATGAAGGTTTTAAGTAAGTGCACAATGGCAACCTCCATAGAAATTCTAATACCACTGAATCTTGGTGAGAAAGACACCCCTTTTCCTGGAGACACAGTTATTTTGGCACCCAGACACCAACATCTGTCTCTTGCAGCCCACCACTGCTTCTGGCAGCCGAAAACTTCACCTTATTTATCAAGAACAGCATTACTTTCCCCAAGTTCAAGGTGAACAGGTGAGAAAAGAGATCCTTGTTCCAGTGAAACACTCACATTCTGGCCTTCTTTTTCAGGGGTGGGCAACTTTTTTAGAGGGTGGGGCACGATTCTGCCCACCCCCTTCAGACCCTGCAGAGGGCAGGCAGGCCCACAGCGACAACAGGAGGGAACAAGGGGACAGCTGCTTGTCAAGGGAGGGGGCTTTCTGGTGGTAGCCCCCGCTTTGTGCAGCTTCATTCCCAGGGAGATTCGTCTTGCACCTTCACTGCATGCTTGGTTAAGGCTGTCGTCTTTACACAGCCATTTAAAGTTTAAGGTGCCATCCTATCTGGGTTTAGGTGGATAAAAGGTCTCCCAGCATGCCCCAGGCAGAGTCACCTGGGGCATGTTTGGAATTGTTTGGGGGTATGTGTGTGTGTGTGGGGGGGCTCTGTTTAAACCTGCCTAGAAACATGCTCTTTATCTGTTACTCATTTTCCTATTGGTGCCTCAACACTTTAATATTTTAAAATGTTTTCATGTTTAATACTATACTTTGATAAGTTTATTGTTTACTCTAGTTCATATTTATTTATGTAGGTTTCTGTCGACATTCTTTATTGGGTTTTATGATTGTAAACTGTCCAGTTTGCCAGTTGGGTGGCCTGGATACCACTCCCACTGCAGGTAGCAATCCGACAGGAAGCTCACCTTTGACAAAGATAGCTCAAAAATCAGCTACATTTGTCCTTTAAAAGCTCAACTAGGGTTTGCTGCCAAATTTCAGAGGCAAGGCGTTGTAACAGCGGCCAAATTTCCAGGGCAAATTTTTCCTTTTTTAAAAACCGGAGTGTTCCATTCCCCCTGAATTCCTTTCCTGTTCTTTTTCCTCTTCTGGACTGTCCATTCCACTTACAGTGGGGCAGTCGAGCAAACAGTCAAGGGGTCCTTTTCCCAGGCCATCTGAAGACGACTCTGGGGGACCAGAGAAGCACACAGAAGCTGCCCCCCTTGGCCCAAAATCTTCTCCCCATTTGCTGCCTTTTGCAGTTCTTGCCATCCCTCCTACTGTTATGAAAATATTCGCTCGCTTGCTCATCGCCGGAGAGGCCTGATCCTCAATCCCAAATAGTCTCGGGGGAGATGCAGAAAAAACAGACACCAGCAGCTCTTGGTCCAAGAGACTTTTTGCAGAAAGCCAGCTGCGGCTGGGGTGAAAACCCTGCCTCATGCCACAAAAGGGCTTCCGCCCACCCCACTGTTCACAGTCAGTTATATCTTTCTGTCCCCTAGGGGCGTACAATCCAAACAGCCAAGCAGCAAGCCACACGGCCTACCATCTGCTTGTTCCACCTAATCTTTGTCTAACATAGGGCTGTTTTTCTGACTTGGCCGTGACTGGCACTGTCTGGGCCTTCAAAGATAGGAGTGAAGGGCACACGTGTGGTTTAGCAAGAGCAAACTGAATATGCTTCTCAGCTACATTTTGGTGCAAAGTTGCCAAGAGGGCTGGCAGGATGCAGGCAGCTGTGGGGCGCCATCTGGTGGCCAGAAACGGAACAGCTGCTGCACCGTTGGATGAAGCCAGGACCTGGGGGCCGGGAGGGGTTCCAGCCATCCCAGGAGCCCCAGCTGGGAGCACTGGGAATGGCTACATCTGAGTGAGCTCTTACCTCTCAGCAACAAGGGTCCTCTTGTTAGCCATAGTGTGTTTCAGTGGCACCTTGCCTGACTTGGCTCCGATTTCACCTTGCTGGCTTACTTTTGCCGCTCCTGAGCTGGTTCCTGACACTGGCTGGTTCCTGACATCGGCCTGTTTCTTGAGCACAACTCTGCTTCCACCCTGGACTCTGGACGGGCTCTGCCTGCCTCAGGCCCCACTGCCCAGGTCCCGGTGCCCCCCTCAACTCCTGCCGTGGACCCTGACAAGGTCCAGGGCTTCTTCTCGGCCCCTCTCTCCTAGAATTAATGGACAGTTCTTTGCAGCAGTGCAGAGCCCGGCTCCACAGTAGGAGAAACTTCTTGAAAGCAGAAGCATTTCAGCCGCACTGGTTGGAGAAACTTCAGTTAGAGGATCAGGCTAGAGGGGCCTAATAAGTTTCCCTCCAACTGCAACTTCCCAATACCACAGCCCCAGCCTATATGTTTCCTCAGGAGTAAATTCCATGGAATGCAATGGTGCTTATTCCCCGATCCATGCATTTAGAGCTGCAGACTCCAGAGGGCCTTCCCTTATTCGCCTCCTTCCTCTGGTTCTACCACAACCCAACTCTACTCTGATTGTTGCCAATCAAGTATGCAATCGTAGGTTTGTTTAGATGGAAAATAGTCCTGCAATCCGGTGCATGTTAGACAGAAAAGGCTCTGAGCAAATCTGGCTTGTCTGAGCCAAGCTAACAGGCCACTGCTTGTTAACCACAAAGACCCCTTGAAGCAAATCCGTGGTTTGCTTTCACAGCTGGGCTCAGAGCTGGGCAACCTGCATTTCCAAAACAACCCATGAAGCCCATACTCCCTGCCTGAGTGTGGTTTACTGTGCTGTCTGAACCCCATCATTGTGTGCGCATGTGCGGTTTTGGGCAATAGTGCATCAGCAAAAATTGCATAGCAAACTAAAAGCAAGAAAGCAAACCAAGCAGCACAGAGGGAATCAAGTCTGGCACTTGCTTCCACAGGCGCAACCTTGTTGAACGAGTCACCAAGGACTACTTGAGAAACTGCACCTATCACAAAGTGAGAGATCCACTTTGCCCCGTCTTTCAACTGGGATATGTGGTGGAAGAATCCGGCCAAAAGTTTTCCATGCTTGCTCGGAAGGTGATGGCAACAGAAACGAATCACAGGACAGTTCCCCCGGCCATTTACTGCAGAGCTCTGAAACTTGGCCCAGTGGGGCGAATCCTGCTTGCCTGGGGCAAAATCCAGCCCTCCCGTATTCCCTAAAAGACCGCCCCTCCTTCCCCTAACCCTTTCCCCAGACTGTCTGAGGCTTTCCCAGCTTCAGTGGAGGTTTCTCCATTCTAAACCCCTCAAAGATTCCCTCTTAAAACTTACTTCCTGGCACTGAGGGCTCTGCTGACATTCAGCTCCCAGGGTAAAAATGGTGCAGGGAGTTGTGTGAACCCAGGCCCTGCCTTAACCCTATTGTTGGAGAGTTTCTCCTTCTCCGTCTCTCCACTGCTCTTGAATTTCTCTGCCCACAAGCAGAGTGGAGATTTTGCTCCTCCAAAGTTGCAACTCAGCCTGGGAAACAGTGGGCAGAGACCCTGGTGGAGCTTAGACTCCTGCCCCCTTGACCCTCCTGTCCCCCAGCCCCTCTTCCTCTGTGCCCCTTCAGGATCTGATCACCCTGGGAAGTCAGTGTGGGGGTGGGTGGCCGGCCCACTCCCTGCATCGCTGGTGCTCCAGCCCGGAGCGTCACACCCTTTGCTCTGCGTGACATCGGCCGGCCAGCTGGGGCAAGGGCTCCTCCCAGGCCCTGGTGGAAAGGAAAGGTACGTCCCTTCCTGGCAGGGCGGCGTCTTGGGCATCTCCATCAGCTGGAACTGCGACCTCGACTGGCCAGTGAGGCACTGCATGCCGGTGTACCAGTTCCACGGGCTTTACAACGAAGACAGCAGCATCTCTCCTGGCTTCAACTTCAGGTAGGGACCTGTCTCCCTTTAGCCTGTGCCGGGCTTGTGATTGAGGCTGCCGCTGGGAGAGCCGGGAGCCAGGAAGCAGAGGAAGAGACTAGGAGCCAGGGAGGACAGTCCAAAGCCAGAAGCACAAACTGGACCCAATGGAGGGTGTCTTCCCGGAGACAGATTATCCCTGTGCAAGAAGTGGGACAAGTCCGCTGATCAAATTCGCAGATGATACTAAAATGGGGGCCGTGGCCACAACTGAGAAGCAGGTGCTCCAGATCCAAGAGGATCTGGACAGGCTATGGAAGTGGGCAGGAGTCAACAGGATGGTGTTCAATGTGGGTAAGTGCAAGGTCTTGCACTTGGGGCATAGGAATAGCTGTCATAAGTACAGGTTAGGGGGCAAGCGGTTGGAGAGCAGCACTTGTGAAAGGGACCTCAGGGTGCGGGTTGACTGCAGGCTGAACATGAGCCAGCCGTGTGATGCGGTGGCCAAGAGGGTGAACGCCACCCTTGGTTGCATAGCCAGAAGTGTGGCTTCGAGATCGAGAGAGGTATTACTACCACGCTATATGACTCTGGTGCACCCGCAACTGGAGTATTGTGCTCAGTTCTGGGCCCCTCATTACAGGAAGGGTATAGCCAGGTTGGAGCCAGTGCAGCGCAGGGCCACAGGGTGGGTGGCCGGTTTGCAGGGGATGCTGTATGAGGCGAGACTGAGGGAACTGGGTCTCTTCTGCCTGGAGAAGAGGAGACTCAGAGGGGACCTGCTAGTGACATACACGTATGTGAGGGGGTGCCTCGCAGAGGTGGGTCATGACAGAGGTGGGAAAACAGATGTCTACCCACCTCCGTATGACACTCCCTCACATACCTTGATGTCGCCAAAACATCTGGACAGCATCTGGTTGGGGGAAACCACTCTATGCATGGAAGTGAAAACAGCTCACTCAAGAAAATATAGCCCGTTACTTGCAAATCTGGGACTACGCATCTTCTAAATCAGCACTTCTGCATGGTGGCCCCTCCCCTGTGAAAACCCCTCAAGGACTGCACAATTAATAAGGCCTAATTTCTCATAAATGGTAAATAGTGGTGGTAAACCCATTTCTTGGGTGTACCACTGCAGCCTGCATGTAGAGCTGCCATAATTAAAGGCTGCACCATACCAGCCCATATTTCCTCTCCTTGCACATAGGAAGCTAGCATCTCAGGGAGTTGCCCCTTCTTCCTGCCAAGCTAGTTGTCCGTGTGCAGGGATTTTTTTCCTATTCTTTTGCTTGAAGGAAACTCTGTCACATATGTCCAAATCTGGAGTCTAAAGCAATACACTCTCAAAACAGACTTTCCTTCATCTGCTGCTTGGGAGAATCAGATTTCAGTCGTACGCTTACACAATAAGACGCACCACAGGCATCACACTCCGTGAAGTTCAGACCTACATCCAACATGAGAGCAGTTTCCCATACTTTTGACACAGGAACTTGGTGCTTTCTGTATGTTTTGGACCATAGCTCCCATAATCCCCGGCTGGGAGTGTGGGAGTTGTGATCCAAAATAACTGGAGGGCTGTGGGTTGCTTACCTCTTGTAATCTCTGTAGGGAGAATTTCAGCCCTCACCAAAAACACTGCATCTCATGACAGCTTTGAAGACAATCTCCATCTGACATTTTTCTTAGTAATGAAAGAAAAAGTAAAGAATTTTCTCTCCCCTTTGCTGTCCTTTTGTTTTATTTTGAACTGACTTCCTCTATAACTGATTTTATGCTCTTGGTTTTTGTTTTGCTGTCTTTCTTTTAGTAATTACATTTTGGAGGAGGATGAGGTAAGGCACCTTAGCCTCCTTGGAGAAAGATACAGTGGGGTGATGTAAAACATGTAATCATATTTTAATTAAGTTGACACTATTTTAAAAACTATATCCCTATGTTTTAATTTGGCAGCAAGCAGGAGAACCTTTCAGGCCAAACATGAGGTAGAACTTTTAAACTAAAGATGAAATTTCCATTTTGTTTCATTGCGATGTCTCTTTTTGCTTTGAAAGGTACGCCAGGTATTACAGAGAAAATGGGAGAGAATTGAGGACTTTGTACAAGGTGTTTGGCATCCGCTTTGATATTCTGGTGAATGGAAAGGTAATGCATTTGCAGAATTGTTCACCTTTTGTTTTAAAGTGGTCTTGGATGGGAAATCTCAAACAGAAGATGCCTTCAGGATATAAGACAGACTTCCAGAATCCTTCAAACACAGGATTGTCCTCTAAAAATGTGGGCACATGACCTCAGACGTCGTGACCCTCTCTGTTGAATTTTAAAATTATTCACCTGCTTCATGGACATGAACAAATGGAAAGGGAAACAGATGCTCTGCTATCACAAAATTCTAATTTAAAATCTCTGCCCTTTAAAATGGAAAAGGACGGAAAGTCACTTTCCGTGATGCTGTTGAGGACCTTGCAATGTGTTTGAATGTTTGGTCTGCTTTTGTGGAAACCCATGTGCCACAGCCAGAAAACTGTCTGCATTTCATTCAAATCTGTCTATGCATATTTCTTTTAGAAATGGGAAAAGATTGTGTTGCAGGACAATCTTTTGGGGTGCCCCTGTGGTGGGGAGGGGTGCTGTTGCAAAGAGGCAAAAGCATTGAGGGTATATTTTCCAGTTCAACTAATCTCCTGCTTATTTATGTGGACTGAATTGTTTTTTATAGTAAGTTTTATTTGAAATTATAATCCTAAAAACAAAGAAAAACTAAAAACAACATCAATCATCAAAAACATCGGGCCTGCTGGGTCAGCCCCCACACCCTTCTTTTTCCATTTATGATAACTTAAAAACATATTTAAATCTATGTAAAGTCCCGTTTCTCTAGCCAGTAATAAAAAGAGTCCCAAGTTTGATAGAAGTCAGTATCTTCTTTCTCCTTCAATGATAAAGTCAGTCTATCCATTTCTGCACAGTCCAGGATCTTTTTTAGGATCAGTTCGTCGGTGGGTGGCTCTTCACTTTTCCAGTACTGAGCAAATGCACTCCTCGCTGCAGTGATTACATGTAAAATCAAGTACTTTCCTTGTTTACTAATATCAACAGGTATAATACCTAATAAGAAGACTTCAGGTTTAAAAGTTAAGGGTTTCTGTAACATTTCCTCAAGCCATTTATGTATTTTAATCCAATACTTTTTCACGTTATCACAAGTCCACCACATATGATAAAACGTACCCAATTTATGTTTACATTTCCAACATTCATTTGACATATTTGGAAACATCTTAGCTAATCTATTTGGCAACAGATACCATCTATAAAACATTTTAAACAAGTTTTCTTTATACGAAGTTTCTAATGTTACCTTAATATTCCTCTCCCATAGCTTTTGCCACACTTCTAATTCAATATTATATCCAAAATTTTGTACCCACATTATCATAGTTTCCTTAACCTGTTCATCTTCCCTTCTCTTATCAAGTAAAAAAATTATATAATCTTTTAATCATTTTCTCATCTGATTTAAGCATCACTTGATCAAACGCTGTTAAATCCTCATAAAAGCCCCACACTTTATAGTCTGTAGCATATCTCGATTGTATCTGCACCTTGTGCCACCAAGAGATATTAAATCCCTGTTCCTGTGTTTCTTGATTCAATTTCAGTCCTCCATCCTTATCCAAAATGTCATCATATCTTATAATCCCTTCAAAATGCAATGCATTTGGATACACAAAAGCTTCCATGGGTGAAAGCCATCTTGGTAATTTATTATACAGTTTTGTCTTTAACTTTTCCCAAACCGACATTAATGACTTTCTAATAAAATGATTTAAGAAACAACCATGTGTCTTACGCTTCTCTTGCCACATAGAAGCGTGCCAGCCCATTTGCAAATCATGCCCTTCGAGATGCAAGATTCTCTTATTTCTTAAAGTTGTCCATTCTTTTAGCCACGCTAAAACAGAAGCTTGGTAGTACAGCATCCAATCAGGGAGACCAAAGCCCCCATTCTCTTTAGCCTCCTGAAGTATTTTTAGTTTAATCCTTGGTTTCTTCTTTCTCCATATAAATCTTGAAATTTGAAATTTAAATCATCAAAAAACTTTCTATCAATTTTTATGGGAAGCATTTGGAATAAAAAGAAAAGCTTTGGTAATATACTCATTTTAGCCAGTGCTGTTCTTCCCAGCCGGGGTAACTGCAAATTAGGATGTGGACTGAACTGTTGATTCATTCCTTAAAATTCACGTGACTTCTTTAAATGGTAAAAGGGCAAGTAGCCACATCAGAGGGATGTTGGCAAAACTTGGCAGCCTTCTCCTTGCTCTTTCTGTGCGCATTCAGGCAGGGAAGTTCGACATCATTCCTACGATGACCACCATAGGCTCTGGGATCGGCATCTTCGGAGTGGTGAGTGTGGATGCTTTGGGGCCATCTCTGCATGGTCCAAAAGAGGATGCGGCTGTCATGTGCTTCCAGGACTCTGCCAGATGGAGTTAAGAGCCCTTTGGCACAGGACGAAGCAGCATCCGTTTTCTGAAGCTTCTGGGAAACTCATGAGCCGCGTGTGGCACAGATATGCCCTGCCTGTGCCTTCTCTCCATCATCCGAGGTTTCCGGGAATACCCTCTTGGAACAGCACTTTAGCTGGACTGTGATGTCCAACAGACCTCTCCCCACTGAGTGAGATCTGTGGGATGGAGCACTGGTCCGAAACTGGTCTCAGAGGAGGCAAAAGATCTCAGATCCAGTTCTAAAGCCATCCAGCAGAGGAAGGAAATTGGGGGGCAGAAGTGGCTGTTCTAGGACATTTATTATGGGAAAGAAGGTTGCCTCCCCACACTCGAGTGCCCAGGGCTCAGACGTCCTCGCCAGCAGAGGCTTAGTCTGCAGTGTCAAGCAGGGCTCCTTATCTACTCCAGATTTTAGTCTAAACTCCCAAGGAGTGACTCATGGTACTATTTCCAAAATAGGTTTGGCACGATGGAACTTCCAAGTTCAGTGTAAAATCCGTAGTGGATAAGCAGCCCCACTGACAGGGAGCCGTCACCTCCCACTTCTCTCCACCAGTTGGAGGCCTTTGCTGCTGAGAACCGTGTCGGTTTTGCTTCCTTCCCTCCCGCAAGAGCTGCACGTGAAGGAGGCAGGCAATGCCGACGGCACTGTGTCCATCCCACCTTGCACCGGAAGGTTTATGGGAGCTATCTGTGGTGCTCAACTCGTCCATCGAAATGGGTTTGCCATCACGGAACACCATGAACAGCTCCTATGAGGCTCAGGATGAAAGCTGGAATGGATGAGGTCCCGGCAGTGGGGAAGCTTCTGCTCCAAGAAGTGGTCGAGAAATTCCTCTCGGAAAGCAATCAGTTCAGCTATTTTCTAGGTGAAGAACAGCTGCCGCTTCAAGACCAGCCAAGGGCATTTACGATCCATGCCCATCTTCCCTGGGAGGGAAGCCATATGTGCTGAAGCCCCATGCCGAAAAAGGAGGAAAGGGGTTATCCAGAAAGAGGGCAGAACAGATGCAGATTTTCCTTAAAAAGTGCACACACTAATGTATATAGCTAGGTGCAAAGCTGGAAAAAATGACTACATTTTAAATTAAAATACAACACATTTCACCCCAGTGCCGAAACTGCTGTGCCTCGCATTCCAGGTGCTGTTAGTTACCAAGGGCAACATCAAGGCCCATCTGCCTGCTCTCCCTTCCAGGCATTCTTGATCTTGAAGCTACACTTGGCCCATGAAATGGGGGGGTCCATCCAGATACTTGATTCTCCTCTGCCTGCCCTTCAAGAGCTTTGGCTATTGGACAAAATAAAAATGACATGAATGAACCAACGGAGAACCACCTTCCATAAAACAGGGCACACTGCCCTCCCGCAGCCCAGGGACTGGTGCATCTTCTCCCCCAGTTCCTCCGAGGTAAATTCGGGAGACCTGCTATTTCCATAGAAGGCAAAAATTCGGGCAGAGTTTAGGGTCCCAGTGAGAAGGACGGAAGCCACTGCTCAGCTGTGCCCCAGCTCTGGCTTTGGCGGGTCTGGGAAACGGTTTCCCCACATTTCAGGCTCTGCTGGTTTGTTTCTTTCTGGCAGGCCTCCGTGCTCTGTGACCTGCTTCTGTTGAATTTCATATCCAACCGGCACTACTACAAGCAGAAGAAATTCAAGAACGCAGAGCTGGATTCCATCAAACCTGTGAGTAGGAGCAAACCCTTTTGCTCCGGGCCACTCTCTTATCCACTTGCTGTGAAGGAACCGAAGAATTCCTTAAAACAGGAATATCAGGCTATCTGAATGGAGGCCTGGGCCTGCCACTGGCCCTCTCAGGCTCTGGGCCGTTCCCACCCATCCTGGCTGCCCGTTGGACCCTCGGAAACCGGAAGGGCTCTTGGAAGGTTCCTCCCGGGGAGAGTTCCTTGCCCTGGGCTGAGCAAGTGCTTTTCCAGGATCAGGGCTATTTCCCCACACCTCTCGGTCCCTTGGCCCGTGCCTGCTCCAGGTTTTGGGGGATCCTTGAGGAAGACCCCCTCCAGGGCTCCCCTCCCTCAGCAAATCCACCTTCTCACTGCTACGGTCAGCAGCTGTTCTGGAAGCTCCTTCCCTTCCTGCACGGAGCTGCTCCTCCTCCCGTGAGCTTGGTCAGAGCAAAGGGTGGAGGAGAACAAGGAGGTGGCAATGGGGGAGATGAGAAGAGTGCCCAGGGACCATCATGCAAAAGCCCAGCTGTGCCCATCCTGCGCCAGTTCCTGGCTCGGTGTCTCCGCTCCTTGGCTCTCCGTGCCACTGCCCAAATCAGCCTTGGCCAGACTCGCTGGCCTGCCTGAAAAGTACATAACGAACCTCTCCATAGGGGAATCTGGATGCCACAGGGAAGAGCCCACCCCTGGGTTTCTGCCCCACAGTGCTGGATTTCTGCGTGTTGGGTTTGCTCCGAGCCAAGCTGTCAGAGAAGCCACCCAACGGATCAAAGATTAAGTAGAGGCAGAAGTCAGTGCTGGGGAGAAAGCAGAAGCTAAGCCGTCCTGGAGCTCAGAGCACCTTGATGCTCAAGGAAGACTAGACCGGGACAGGAAGGCCTCTTCAAAACACAGAAACATAGAGAGCCAGGAGGGTCCCCTCGGGCCATCTAGTCTGACCCCTGGCTCCAGCCAGCTCCACTCATGACATGCCCACCATGTGCATGTCCAGCCTATCCTTGAACACCCTCACTGATTGGGCTTCAACCACCTCCATGGAAGCCTATTCCACACCCTCGGGGTCCTAACTGTCAGGAAGGGCTTTCCAGAATCCAGATGGAACCTGGAATCCCTGAGCTTGGCTCCGCTGGAGCACGTCCTGCCCTCCTCCACAGGGGAAAAAGGTCACGACCCACCTCCTTGTGACACCCCTCACATACCTGCTGTGCTCCTGCCTGTCTGGGAGGATCCAGTGACCAGCCCAGGTGGGCAGAGTCAGTCCCGGCCAAAGAGACCGTCACCGCGAAGGCCCCCGCAGGCCCCTCCATGACTCATACGCAAAGGGAACCCGGTTGCCCCATTGTGAGGCCCACCGTTCCCATTGCTTGCCTAAAATATATTCCCACGGAGGTGGAGATGTCACAAGTCTGAAAGTGGCCAAGCTAGTATCAAATTCAGCTCCGTTCTCCAAGAAGCCTGGAGTGGTAGACACTCGCAACAACTTTGTAGGGTAGGTTGGAAAAGATGGATTTTGTTAAATTGCCTCCCCTCGCTTTCTGCAGATCAACAAGCACCTTCCGTTCCATCTTCTGCTCATGGATGGAATTGAAGTTTTTGCCATTTCCCAAACTTGTTTTCACACACACTTGCACAAATATGCACTTCTAGAAATGTGCAAATCAGCCCCAAGTGCACAGATTTCCCCCAAATGTGCATTGTCGTGCTTTAGCCTATGAGAGCAGGAGAACAGTTTTGGTCAGTGCTATTTTATTTTATATTTCCCATAACAAGACTTACATAGAGTTCCAGAAAGTACCAAAAGAAAATAAAACCAATCCAGAAGTCCATGCAGCTCAGGGAAAGCTAGTCCACTGCAGAAGCCACACTTCAGAGTCATGGAAATCTGCACCCTTTGAATCAGCAGCAGATTTTATAATTTATAACTAATTTTAGAGACCGGACAAATTTTTGATGGAGATTCGAACGGCTTGGATGGGACAGTGACTGATGGGTTTAAATGTGTTTAAATCTTAATATTGCTTGCTACAGGTTGAGGAATGATCCTTGGCACTTTCTTTCCTATATAGTTCTCTCTTTTTATTGTATTTCTGAAAATGAATTCTAAAGGTTTTGAGAGAGAGAGAGAAAAGAATTGGGTGCAGTTTTCAGCATCCCCACTGGGTTAGGCTCAGAGGGAAACTGATGCATTCAAGGCCGCCTCTGAGTTTTGTCCTTCTCAAAGGCGATCTTACAAAGTAGATCTTGCAAGTGCCTTGGTCCCATGTTTTGTTGATCCAGGAGTAAGTCCTGCTTTGTTTTGAGTACCTGGGCACCTGTCCATCCTCTCCCCTCAGATTATGGTCTTGAGATTCCATTTAGTTCTTCTGGTTGCTCTTGATACTCTGATCAAGAGAATCCCTTCTAATTTGGAGTTGTTTTTTGCTTTGCTTTTTTTTGTTTGTCTGTGATATTTTCTCAGGAAAAAGAAGATGCTGTCAGCTCTTTCACGTGTGATTTACAGGAGAAAGAAAAGGTTTCTCAGTGAAATGGTACGTGGGAATACAGAATTTTATTTGTTGAAGAACTGCTAAAAAAAAAAATCTGTCCTCTGCTTTCCTGAAAGTTTTTTTCCCTTGCAAAACAGGATTGTCTTTTTCTGTCTGGAGGTTTCTCTGCATAATGTTTTTAATATGCCACTTTGCTGTTGCTGCTGTTTTGAAATTCTTTGAGGAATTAAGATCTACTCCTTTATACAGGTGTTTTCCCAGAGCTTTTTTGTGTCTCTGCCTTTCTGTGTGTTCCATTAAACAACCACAAGGTGGCACTGTGGTGCAGCAGAATGGCATGAATACAGGTGGGCCCATTTGCTTCCATTCTGCCATTTCCACATAATGTCACCTTCCCTCAATCTAACGATAATAAAAAGCCACAGAAATGGTTTCAAGGTACAGAAGAGTTCCTGGAAGAGCATGGCGTCATATAAAGCACCAGTGATCTTTCATGAGTTAGGAATTACATGCAACAATATAATGCCTTATGTACTGGAACACAGAACAGAGAAGCAGAGCGAGCCAGAAGGGGTCTCCCGGGCCATCTAGTCTGACCCCGGCTCCAGCCGGCTCCGCTCATGACATGCCCACCCTGTGCACGTCCAGCCTTTCCTTGAACACCCGCACCGATGGGGCCTCCACCACCTCCCATGGAAGCCCATTCCACCCCCTCGGGGTCCTAAGTGTCAGGAAGTACTTCCTGGCATCCACCCTAAACCTTTCTTCCCTGAGCTTCATTCTGTTGGAGTGCATCCTGCCCTCCAGTGCAGGGGGAAAAAGTCATGATCCGCCTCTGTGTGGCCCCCCTCTCATGTACCTTCATGTCACCAAAAGGTCTCTGAGTCGCCTCTTCTCCAGGCTCAAGAGACCCAGTTCCCTCAGTCTCGCCTCATACGGCATCCCCTGCAAACCGGCCACCAACCTTGTGGCCCTGCGCTGCACTGATTCCAACCTGGCTGTATCCTTTCTGTAATGAGGGGCCCAGAACTGAGCACAATACTCCAGTTGCGGGCGCACCAGAGTCGTGTAGAATGGTAGTAATACGTCTCTCAATCTAGAAGCCCCTCTTCTGGCTATGCAGCCAAGGGTGGCGCTCGCCCTCTTGACCACCGCATCACACTGCTGGCTCATGTTCAGCCTGCAGTCAACCAGCACCCCAAGGGCCCTTTCGCAAGTGCTGCTCTCCAGCCGCTTGTCCCCTCACCACTCTCCTGTTTTGCATTTCTTCTGGTGCTCTTTCTGTATTTGCTTTGCTATTGCAAGGTGTTTGGGGCTGCTGCCCGCATTCTTCTTTGCACGCTGCCCCTCTGCAGGCATCTCAGCTGCCCATACTTCTGGATCTGAAAAAGCCCCAAGGAAGGAGTTGGTCCATCCCATCTTCCCTTGGGCTTTAACTGATGCGTGGGGAGCCAGGACGGCTGCAGATCTCCCGCAAAATCATTTTCTTGTGGAGTCACCACATCCTGCATCATGGTTTGTCCTTCTAGGACATCGTCACAAAGCACCTAGTCTAAAGCATCCCCAGATTTCAACTTTATGCCTTTTCCAGTTTTTCCCCAACCAAAGATGCTGGGGGCACAAAAGTACCCGGGAATGTCCATGGAAATAATTGTATGGATAACTTTTATGCCCCAAACAAAGGAAGGTTCAGCACAGATCACAACAAGTACCTTTTAAAGCTAAGATTCTTAGCTAAACACTTCAGCAAACAGTATTAAATCCATCAAGGGATGGCTGTGCTATGAATATTTTTTAAAGTTAGCAAGTCAAGTTATTATTCTGCACAGAAAAGGTCAAATGGACCGAGCCCAGTAATTTGGGTTTTCTCACCTGAGGAAACACCTGAAGTTACCTAAACTTGCTAATTGCTGAAGGCCAGTTCCTAGGTCAGGTGAAGCCCTCCTCACAGTGAGGGTGAATTTCAGCCAGAAACAAGACTTTTCATGCGCTGCATTTCTCCTACTTGAGGTACTTTCATCTTCGGTCCAAAATGACCCCAAATGCAGCTGGTGCTAGTTTTTCGTTGAGGCAAGAAGGGAATGAAAGACAGCGAAGGGTGCTGGCCAGCACTGGAGAGATGCCTCTGCCCCGTTCCTGCTTTCCAAGCCCCTCAGAGACAACTGCTGGAAGGCAGCCTCGGTTGACAACAGGTGGGCCAAGAGAGGCCCTCCAGCAGGTGGCATGGTTTTAAGTGGTGTAAGCTCAGCACCTTGAATTGGGCTTGGCAGCATTTGGGCAGCCAGCGTGAGTGAGCCAGAACTCATGTTTGGACCTTCTGCCCATTGGATCATGTTTTCAGCAAAGTGCTGCGTCAAGGAGAGCCGTCTCCTTTGAGCGTGATGGATTTCCGGGCACTGCTGATCCGGTGAAGTGCGCAAGGTCCAGAGAGAGAGCGTGCATGGATTTCTGCCTCCAAGATGGACCCCCGCTTGCCCACACTTCTCTCTTTAACCATTGATGGCCTCTGCTCAAATAAGCTTGCCAGGACTCTGTTGCACAAAGGTTTTTAAAATGGCACCAAGCCCTGATCCATGTTAGAGATGGAACCGCACTTGATCTGCAGGGGAAAAACTTCACCGCTTGTAGCAAAATGCAGCTTTCCCCTTGCTGCCTTTTGTGAGCTAATGCTCTCTGGTGCTTAAATGGCTGCATGTTTTTTTTTAAAGCATTTTGTTTGTGTTATTGTTAGCTGCTTGGGCTCTTTTGAACTTAAGAGGAAGAACAGAGAATTAGATCAACTGACCACCGAAACATCAGCTGGGGCAATTTCGATCAGGAAAATGGCATGAAGGACAAGTATAAACCTCCACAGTTTCTCCACGCCTCACCTTGCTTAACACTGTTCCAGCACTGCAGTTCTCGGCAGCTGGTTTCCAGATGTTTTATAGAGAAGTAGTGGGGATAGCCAATCATGGGCCTCCATGGTTCATCCCTTCAGCTGATCTTTGCTTGGTTTTTGGCGTGAGAAATGCCAGCCCTGGCACAATTAACAATGGTAGATCGTCCTTTAATGAGTCTCTCTCTCTCTCTTGTATTTACAGAAGTCATACACTAAGCATAAACCCTGCCTCCTCTTCCTTCCTCTTGCAATGATCCTGGACTTTTATCAACCCATCCCTAAGCAAACAGCTGTAGAATTTATACTTGTGCACGTTGGCGTTCCATCCTTTCTAGGAACTGGGGAGAAATGGTTTTGCAGAATTGCTCAAAGTTTTCAGCTCGGAGCGTCTGAATGAGGGAACAGACATTTTAGGAGCAAAGAGAAGCCTGGAATTGGCGTAAACCACAAGATGGGAGCTGTCCGGGATGCAATTGTGGTGGTCTTTGGAATTCTTAGCTTGGGCACCAAGCAGAACCGGAAAATGCACGCAGCACGTGGTGAATCTTCTTAGGGTTATGCTCCCAATCCAGCCAGGTCATACTTGGTTTCCATCAAACATCTGGAGAAAACAGCAGCCACTAAGCTGTTGCAATTACTTGCTGGGTGAGACTTTCAGCTGGCTTGCACGGCAATGCAAAATGATCACTGTAACTTTTTCCAAACCTAATCCCAAACTAAAATGTTGTTTGCTGAAGGAATCACTACATTTCTGAAGTATGAGATGGGGTTCATTCTGCCCCTACCCTACAAAATTTATACCTTTCAAAAACTGCTTTTATTTCTGATGGGGAAAGCATGCAAAATTGCATGCATTTGCATCAGTGTGCAGAAAAATGCATCCATTTAGGTAAAATGTGCAAAAAATGCAGGTTTTTTTAGGGCATGAAGATACGTACCCATTTTCATGCAGGCTAAAGTGAAAAATAAAATCACAATTTGTTGTGGCATTTGGGACACAGTGACTGAGGAAAATGGGGAAGATGAGTGGAACGGAGGTTTGTATGTCTGTCTTCTTAGCTTTTGCAGGGGGCATGCAAAGAGCGCCAGAGTGGGAGCATAATTTCCTACACCTGGAGTTCCTCTATCATCCGTTCCAGGCCCCCCAAAGGCCGATAGCCCAAGACACTCCAAAGGGTCCCAGCTAGTGAAAGCTGGCCCTTGCTTCCCAGCGCAACAAGCATCTCCATCTCTTTCATTCCACAGCATCCATTGCTGCTCCTGCTGTGTGAACTGGGGAAGGATTAGGCTTGGAAAAGGACACTTCCAAAGAATAGAATTTATTTTAAAAGCAGAGAAATAAAGCTCTAGTTTTGGTACTACCTCATTTTGCTTTACTCTGTGATTTTCCCTTCTAGTGTCTACCTTTTAGCCATGGCGGTTTGGTATGTTACTGGGTAAGGGTTTCCCCAAATCCGCAAATTTCTTCTTAAATGAGAAGAACCAGAGATTTTAGAAAACAGGTTGTGGGAGGAAGTGCAGTGGAGGTCTACATTAAATGCAGGACATATGGCCAGTCTTCAGAATTTTGTTTCTCTCGGGGCTTCTCTCACTGGTAGCTGTCCGTGAGCTCACAAGCATCTGGCATTGGTCTTGATCCACACCAACACAGCAGGATCTCTCCGGGTTCCAAGCAGAGGTCATTCCTAGAACCTCCCGGACGTGTTGGGGATTTATCTTCTGCCTAGCATTGTGTAGGAATCTGGTTTGGAGTGAGAAAGCGTCAAACCTGCTCTGCTTGGCTTCTCAGGCCCCAGCCTGCATCCTTTTGCCCCAGGTCCACCTCACGTTGAGTGTTCATGAGGGTGGCCAGCAGGAAGCAAGTTCTACCTGCAGGCTTTGTGTACCTCACACAAAGAATTGTGTACGTTGTGTGCATTGTGCAAATGAGCCTCTGGCATTCCCAAGTGTTGGAGGACTTGTTTTCGGTTTGGCACACGTCGTAGCTGGGGCCAAGTGTGGGAAAGATGCCCAAAGAAGCTTGACTGGTCCAGCTACCCCGGGAGGAAAGATTAGCGGATGGGGTGCTTTTGCTTAGGAAAAGTGGTGGCTTTCACTTAAACAAATTTGTGGAGAACAATAGAGGCATGGCTAGTGATGCTTACCTCCTTTTTTCCTTTTTTATTTTTATGGATAAAAGGATAACATAGAAACATAGAAACAGAGCGAGTCAGAAGGGGCCTCCCGGGCCATCTAGTCTGACCTCTGGCACCAGCTGGCTCCGTTCACGACATGCCCACCATGTGGACGTCCAGCCTATCCTTGAACACCCGCACCGATGGGGCCTCAACCACCTCCCGGGGAAGCCCATTCCACACCCTCGGGATCCTAACTGTCAGGAAGTGCTTCCTGGCATCCAGATTGAACCTTGGTTCCCTGAGCTTCGCTTAGTTAGAGCACATCCTGCCTTCCTCTGCAGGGGAGAACAGGTTCCTATGCATCTCCATGTGACATCCCCTCACATACCTGCATGTCGCCAACATATCCCCTCTGAGTCTCCTCTTCTCCAGGCTGAAGAGACCCAGTTCCCTCAGTCTCGCCTCATACCCCATCCCCTGCAAACCGGCCACCAACCTTGTGGCTCTGCGCTGCACTGACTCCAACCTGGCTATATCCTTCCTGTAATGAGGGGCCCAAAACTGAGCACAATACTCCAGTTGCGGGCGCACCAGAGTCGAATAGAGTGGTAGTAACACCTCTCTCGATCTGGAAGCCACGCTTCTGGCTGTGCAACCAAGGGGGACGTTTGCCCTCTTGACCACCGCATCACACTGCTGGCTCATGTTCAGCCTGCAGTCAACCAGCACCCCGAGGTCCCTTTCACAGGTGCTGCTCTCCAGCCACTTGTCCCCTGACCTGTACTTATGACACCCATTCCTATGCCCCAAGTGCAAGACCTTGCACTTATCCACATTGAACACCATCCTGTTGTCTCCTGCCCACTTCCATAGTCTGTCCAGATCCTTTTGGATCTGGAGTACCTGCTCCTCAGTTGTGGCCACTGCTCCAGTTTTAGTGTCGTCTGCAAATTTGATCAGCAGACTGTTCACCCCTTCTTCCATGTCGTTAATGAAAAGATTGAACAGGATCGGCCCCAGGACAGAGCCCTGGGGGACCCCGCTTGTTGCTGGCCGCCATCCTGATGATTCCCCGTTAATGGCTACCTTCTGCTTACGGTCAGTCAACCCTGCCCTAATCCACTGGACAGTGCTTTGGTGTATCCCAAAACTCCTCAGTTTCTCCACCAGGACATCATGGGGCACTTTGTCAAAGGCCTTGCTGAAATCCAGGTATACCACATCCACTGTATCCCCTCCATCCAGCCATCTCGAAACCTTGTCATAGAATCCCACAAGGTTTGTCTAGCAGGACCTGTTTTTGTGGAAGCCGTGTTGTGTGGCTGCCAGCCTCCCTTCCCTATCTAGCATCGCTAGATCTCTCTCTATTATGAGGCTTTCCACTGTTTTTCCTACAATGGACGTAAGGCTAACCGGTCTATAATTCCCCATGTCCTTTCTAATACCCTTTTGAAAATTGGGACCACTGACACCACCCTCCAGTCCTCTGGAACTTCACCCGTTCTCCACGAGGTCTCAAAAATGGAGGCCAGCGGGCGTGAGAGAGCCCCTGCCAACTCTCTAAGTACTCTCAGGTGTAACCCGTCAGGGCCTGGTGCCTTTGTAATGTCCAATGCCCTGAGGAGCCCCTCGACTTCAAGGGGGTTGACTAATCTGTGCCCCTAAGTCCCTGGCCTCATCTAATCTCCTATGCGGATCTCCCCCATCCTGCTTTGGGGAGAACACAGAGGCAAAATAGTCATTTAGCATCTGTGCCTGTTCCCTCATATCAGTCACTGGATCTCCTTCCTCCTTATTTAGTGGTCCCACCACTTGTCTCCCCTTGCTTTTCCTATTTACATGCTGAAAGAAGCCCTTTTTGTTGCTCTTGATATTCTTGGCAAGTCTCAGCTCCTAATCAGCCTTAGCCTTGCGAAGAATCCTTCTGCAACGGGCCTCCTCCTCCTGGTATACCCTTTTGTCTGTTTCCCCCAGTACCCATTTCCTGTGGTGGTTCCTCTTTCGTCTAATCCCTCTAACCACCTTCCTTCGCATCCATGGCAGCACTCTCCTCCGCCTCCCCACCATACTGACTAGAGGTATCATCAAGGCTTGCGCCTCCAAAACCTCCCCTTTGAGTGCCATCCACCCCTCCTCAACTCACTTGCCTTCCAGTAACCTATCCCAGGATTCTTTCCCCAGTCTGGCCTTCAATAGCGAAAGTTGGCCCTCTTGAAGTCCCAGCTTCCAGTGCTTGACCTGTTGCACGTCCCCAGACCCCTGATCTCAAAGCAAAGGATGGAGTGATCACTCGCATCCAGAGCTCCCCTAATCTGTACTTCACTGCAGTTACTCAGATACCCTAATCTGTACTTCATAAAGAAAAATTAATATGAAAGAGATACCAAGGGACCTTACACAAAAATTACATATAGCACTATGTGTGGGAAATTACACAAAAAAATCAATATTTATTGTTACTTCTATCAATTTTATAACTACAATTTAGATTTAATACTTGGTTATTACAAAAAAGCATTATCATGGGTTTCAAGTAAATAATAACTCACCTTATATCCACAAACCTACCAGCAATTAATAATTGAATTTTCCTTTTTTTCCCCAGATAAAACAATATAATACAGTTAAATTCATAAATCAATTATATTAATTTGATGGTTGTGTACATAATACTTAATAGCAACACTCCCCATTGCTAGATAAAGGATATATAATAGACTTTCCATTTAGCATAACATACTTTAACCGGTCTTCTACATATAGCTGGTTTGTTAATGTATCAGCTCGGTCATCCTTATATAAATTCTATTTTTTCTCTGAATTGTCAAGTAAAATATGTATAGTAAGGTTTCCATTTAGCATCAAATTCTTTGGCCGGCCTTCTATTTATATAGATGGTTAAGTCTGCCATCATTGAATGCTCTGCTAATTTATTTTTCCAATCTTCAGTAGTCAGGCAGTTTTCTGCTTTCTGTTTTGTTGTGACCGCGACTCCGGTTGCTGCGGCAGTTGCTGGGGAACAAGGGTGAGAGTCCAAGTTCCCTCCCCTTTGCTAAGCAGGTTTCTTTTTTGGCTGGACTTTTCTGGAAGGAAAGTGCGGTTGCGGAACCAGGCGTCACTTTCCCTCTGCCTCCCTGTCAAAGGGTCTGGTCCTTGGGAGAGAAATGAAGGGCTCGTCGCTGCAAGATTAGATGGAGCCAGCAGGGGGCGCTCCAGTGAAAACTTGCGCTGCGTTTTAAACTGTTCTTGTTCCTAATCAGGTTACTTTCCAGAGAAAAACCGGCTTCCACCAGGCGAACTTGCGGGGGGTTGGGACTTGCATGAGTCACACTTGCACGCAGGCAGAACGACAACCACGTCTTGGACTGGAGGGGACACTGCGGGACTGGCCACTTCGGGCTCTGCAGGCAACTGCTCTTCGGCTTCATGGCCTCGTGCGTGCCCCTGTTTGCACAAAATCGCTAATATGCCTAAAATGAGCAAATATTTTCATACTTTCCTCTGTGGGGAGATCTGTGCTTTTTCGATCGGTGCTTTTTATTTTGTGCATTTTTCTTGGGAAGCTGATCCACTGTGGAATCCGTGGAGTAGACTTGCGACGCTCGTGGCTCAGCTGTTGCAGATTTCTCTGGCCACCCGAACAGAAGCAGGCCTGTTTTCGGGGGCGGGCCAAACCGTTTTGCAGACTAGAGCTGGCTTCCTTGCTTCTGAACCCCTCACTGGAGTTATTCAGATACCCAAACTGGTGGGCTTCTTTCCGAAGCGCGGTCAGTGCCAGCCTGGAGCATCCCAACTGTGCCGTTTGGCAATTCCATCACTGGAACTGGCAGAGCTGTTTCCAGCTGCCTGGGGGAAATGTCCAGGGAATGGGGTGTGAAGGAAGCTGGAATTCCGGCAGGAAATGGCCTGGTACAACTCTTTTTCTCCCCTCCAAGGCCCAGTTGAGACTTCAAAGTGCAGGTGGTACGGTCCTTTCCATGCCACCTGTGAGCAGACTTTACCTTTCGAGCCCCAGCTTTTGTAATAGCATTAATAAACACGAAAAGCAAATGCAATGAAATGAATTGGAGAGTGTCAAATACACTCAGACGTGTCCAGCCTTCTTTAACTCCTAAAAAAAAAAACCTGCTACGGATTTAAAAGAGAGAATTAAGAAATGTTGGTAGGTCAAGTTCTCCTTCCTGTTTCTAAATCTCCCCTTGACGTTCTTTTTTGCTTGTGAGTCATAGGCAGAGTTAGACTTACTAGA